ACAACAATTGTGACATGTTCAATTTTATTCTCAGTTCTTCTTTTTACTCGTAGTTGTTTTTGTAAACAAAACAATTCTAAACAAGCTTCTAATCAAATTGAATTTTTAAAAATTTTATTTTCTAAATATTTTCATTTTTTTTTCAACTTCTAATTTATCTATATTTTTATATATATTTAATTCTATCTATCTATATATATCTATCTATCTATCAATCTTTCTATATATATATATATTATATATCTATATGTATCTGACATGCCTATGTATCTATCTATATATCTATCTATCTATATATCTATACTTCATATTTCTTTATGTATCTGACATGTCTATGTATCTATCTATATATTTATCTATCTATCTATCTATCTATCTATCTATCTATCTATCTATCTATCTATCTATTTATCTATCTATCTATCTATCTATCTATCTATCTATCTATCTATCTATCTATCTATCTATCTATCTATCTATCTATCTATATATCTATCTATCTATCTATCTATCTATCTATCTATCTATCTATCTATTTATCTATCTATCTATATATCTGTCTATCTATGAATATATTTATCCATCTATCTATCTATCTATCTATATATATATTTATCTATCTATCTATCTATCGATCTATCTATCTATCTATATATCTATCAATCTATCTATATATATATATTTTATATATCTATATGTATCTGACATGCCTATGTATCTATCTAGAGGTCAATCTATCTATCTATCTATGGATGACAGATACTTCATGTTTTTATATATGATTTCAGATTCTCGTATTCTACACCAGTTTGCCTCCCTCCTTCAGATCGAGATAAACAAATATATTGCAATCTACAAATATATGTATATATATTTATATTTACATGTATTGTATATACATAGTTTTGTCTATACACGATAAGTACAAGTAAACTTAGAGGGGAGACAAAATTCACTATTTTTAGATTTAAGTTGTGAAATTCACAATTTGAATTTGAATCTTTAAACAAAGGGCCACTTGCCTAAAGCAATGACATTTTATTTAAAGGGAGTGTTCGCGAAAAATGAAAGGGGGTATAGGCTTAATGCGATAAAAAAGCGAGACGTCTTTAACAATTTTCTCCTTATAGACGCAACAGATAGAAGTAAGATTTGTAGCGATCAAAAGCGCTTTTTTATCGCATTAAACCTATACCCCCTTTCATTTTTCGCGAACACCCCCTTTAAGTGATAAAAAATTATAGGAAAATAAATTATGGTTTTTAAAAATTTGTAGTATCATTTTATAATTGCTGACATTTTTAAAAAGTAAATTTGGATCACGATTAGCTATTCTGAACTTAAATTGATTCGTTTGTTTTGAACAGATTTAAAGAACCTGTCAAATCTTTCCCTGGAATTTTTAGAAAGATGAAAATTTCCCTGTATGATAATCGAAGGACTGCAGTATGGTTTTGGTGAATTATATTGGCGTACTAAGCCTAGGGGTGTCAGAAATGATTTTTTTTGCATATTTTTAAAAACTTCTATAAAACTTTTTAAGTTTAATTTTTAATAAAACTTTTTGTTCTGGATGATTTAAAATATCTATTTAAAACTTTCTTAAACCTGTATATGTTTTCTATATTCATTTAGTTAAGAGTTTAAGTCAAAATAATTATTGATAATTATTGCTTAGCATCGAGTAGATATCCTTAAACATACCGATGCAAAACCTTTCAGAAAGTAGAAAAGATTCTGCAAAAAAAGCTGACGAAACCAAACAGAATTTTTATTTTGAACAAAAATATTTAGAACTTATAAAGAAGCTTTTCTGGGTTGCACTTTGCTCTAGTTTTGCATTATTTTCATTTGTGTAAAACAGTAAAAAAGAGATTCTGTTGATGGTTTAAAACTGAACAGCTGATGATTCATTGGAGGGAGGAATGGCAAAAACACCAATTCATAATTCCCAAATCTTTTTATGGAAAGTGATTGTAACAGACTGCTTCAGGGTACAGGGTACTACAATGTAATCAGAGTAAAGTGCAACCCAGAAAAGCTTCTATATAAGTTCTAAATATTTTTGTTTAAAATAAAAATTCTGTTTGGTTTGGCAACTTTTTTCTGCAGAATCTTTCCTACTTTCTGAGAGGTTTCACGTCGATATGTTTAAGGATATCTACTCGATGTAAAGCAATAATTATCAATAATTATTTTGACTTAAACCCTTAAAAAAGTGAATCTAGAAAAAATATGTCGGTTTAAGAAAGTTTTCTATAAATATATGCCTAGGCCTAGGCTAAGTACGTCAATATAATTCATCATACTGCAGTTATTCAATTATCATATAGGGAAAATTTCATCTTTCTAAACATCCCAGGGAAAGATTTTACAGGTCCTTTATAAAGTTTCACCTCTAAACATATTATAGTGAATTGTGAAGTTTACATTACCAAATTCTTATATCAAGTGTTAAGCATAAGCATTTAGAATCCAAACATGGTGTTTATTTTGAAAAAAAATGGCATGTCCGATTTAAAACGGTACTTTTATTAATTACCTTTGTGAGATCAAGTAAAATGTGTACTGTCGAAGTTTCAAACTATTATTTTTGAAAATTGAATATTTTAATTGTGGTTTCTTTACAAAAGTGGCTTGCGGATTTTTTCTACAGAAACATGGTTGAAAATGTCAGAATTAACCCTTGAAGCCAACATTTTTTTTTCTCATATAAGGATACCGTGGAAAATCAACCATTGAACATAATAACGACAGTTAAAAGACAGTTAAAACAACCATAATGACGACAGTTAAAAGAATGCCAATTTTTGTTGTTGTTGTTGAAAGTTAATAAAAAGATTTAAAATCAGCATATTTTTAATTTAGAATCAATTGACAAAAAGAGTGTTCAAACTCATCCCAATTGTTTTTTCCTTTTTAGAAAGTTATTATCATGGTGACAACTTACAATATTACAATTACATATTACAATTTAGTAAAATGTTTGCTTATGATATAAAGTTAAAGGAACTGTTAAGGAATAATGAGAGGGGGTTTAAAAAGAATCCTGTGAATCTCAGGCATTGAACGATACATATAAGACATCTATCTGATGTTTCTGTCTCAAAAAAATAATATAAAACTATGTCAAATTTACTGCACTGCCATTGGCTGAAATTCTGGTGACGTAATACGGACTATACGAACTATAAGTAATTATATTATTAATTATATATATAATAAAATGCAAAATAAAAAAATATATAATAGGAGCAAACCTGAGATTTTCAGGCTCCTGTGGGATATCGTAGTTTTCAGATTGGTTGCGTATTTGCTGTATATGATCTGCTTAATACTACAACTTCATACAAAATTGCATTTATCATCAGAGTTTTCGTTTTAATTTCTCGATGTTTTATAGATGTTTTATATGGATCGTTTAATGCCTGAGATTCTCAGGTTTTATCCTATACCCCCTTTCATTTTTCTTTAAAGTCCCTTTCATTACGAAAAAAAAAGATTTAAAAATGTCATTTCAAAATGCAACGTCATTTACAAAAAAAGATTAAAAATCAATGAATGATGGGATAAAAATAATGAAATGAAAATGCTAGACTTGGGATGATTGATGAGTAAAAATAAAAGTGTGTTTAAAATGATAATAATTCTGTGAAGGGGGAGGGGGCCCGTCTTCTATTACATTCATGACATCATTCTTATCAACAAAAATGTCACGTAATGTGTACTTGAATACTTAAAAATATGTTTGAATAATCAAAGGGACTGAGCCTGGAACTTTTGAATGGTGGATAACGAGATTAATCTTAATCTTCAGATTAAATAATGCTTATTTTCATACTGTTATTAATCTCCAGATTAATTAACCGTTCGGGATTAAAGATATCCCATTCTAAAGTTTCCAGCTCTGAAGAGATATTTATAAAAGGCGTATCTGACTAACCTTTGTGCATAGTTTAAACCTAAGGCTATTTTAGTAAAAAATCTGAAAAATATATCTAGTCATTTTCCATCTAAAAAGTGTCGAAATTCGTTTTTTTTTCAACAAATGCATAAATGCTCAAGTCATCTTTATAACGAACTTACATTTTGTAAATTAGGAAAATGTCAGTTTTTTTCAGAATCTAAAAAGTTCACTTTAATTGTTTTTAGAGTGTGACCCATAAAATAGAAAATAATACCTTGCTTCATTACAACATCAAAATCGTATAAGATATATATATATATATGCATATATAAATGTATATATATAAAGTTATTATCTTTGTTTGTTTGTCCGATCATAACTCAGGAACCATATGGACCGATTTGCCAAAAGTTTTGATTGGAGAACTTGGGAGACCCACGGGAATGTTCAACTTTGAGATTCTAAGTTAAGTGGGTCGACATAAATGGCGAAAATTTAGTTTCCCGGTAAAATCGTTCAAGTGCGGGTAAACGGCAGGAGAAACTTTTAGTTACCTTGGCAGCGCTGGGTTCCCAAACTAGAAATTAGAAATAAAGTGATAACCAGAATACCGTAGAATAGGAGAACGACATTAAAGCAATACTGAAGTGCAATTGGTGTTGTTATAAAGCAACCAGCTTATATTACACGGTGGACTAAGCCAGTGGGGTCGGTCAAATAGGCCTAGGATTAGGCCGGGTACTGTAAAAAGTCTGAACGCGCCATGGGAGTTGTCATAGTTAGCCCTCCGACGAGACTATTACAAGAAAATTGACCCTTGTCGTATGTTTGTCTGGTTAGGGCGACGTACTGTACCATAGGATAGGGTCAGTACACGCTGTTCTCTGGCAGGCCGGTACAAACTGGGCAGGTCCTGTTCGAATTCAAATTTACTACGGCCCAGAGTGATTAAGTTATTAAGTCACTTATTAAATAAAATATGTTTGATTTTACACTGCACAATCGCTGTACCTCTTGTTCATTGGACTATTTAAAGTCATCAATGGAAGATAAATGTTGTCTTCATAATCCACATATTTATAGGTCTTTCTTTAATTTTATAAATTTGATTTCAGGTGAAACAGAATGCATAAGAGGTTAATATTTTGTTTCTGTATTATTATCTGTCTGTCATTTCATCTCACATCGTCTTTGCACATCTGCAGGTAAACATAACGTAACACTGCGCCCACTAAGCAGCAAAAAAAACTTTTGAGGTTCACTCACATGATGTTAGATACTTTCTCAATGGATTTTTTCCAAGTGGCAGCTTCCCAAGGGTATTTTCTCAAATGGAAACTTCCCAAATGTGCAATTTCCCAAGCGGTAACTTCCCAAGTCTGTCATAACCGCGGCGCTCAGCCCCTTAGCTTATCCTAACCACAGCGCTGCGCCCCCATTGCAGCCGGCGGCGCCTCAGAGGGCCTAATATAACAGTTGGGAAGTTGCCGCTTTGGAAATTGCACATCTGGAAAATTGCCATTTGCGAAATCGCCCTTTGGAAAATACATTTGCGAAATTATTTAACACCACCTAATATCTAGAAAATGATGGTTAACTTATAAATTCAAATAGATACAAGTATGTTGATTTGAAGCTTGATTTTGGTTTCTGCAATCAATTGAGTATTTTGATGGTTTACTTAATGACTAAGCACGGCATACAATTGGAACCCTGAATGTAAGAAAACTGACTAATCAAATAATTCAGTACAATTGTATCTGAAGTCTCATTCTTTGTGGGTAACCCTGTATATCTTGCATTCCCAATTTTACGATTCAAGAATCATAATCAAGATTTATAAGACATGTTTCTGCTCCTGTTTTTCGTTTTATAAATTGATTATTTTAATTGCTCATTTGCAAGAAAAGTGCCTGTTGGATTTTTACCGCACCTCGAGTGGAAAAATTACTAAATTAAAAAACAATTGATCTGGAAATTAATTTTTTTTCATACTAAAAAGTGTTGAAGTCATTAGATTTTATTCAAATTCCTTCTCTCTGTAACAAATAAATTAATAAATCACTTTTGAAAGGAAACCATGATTAAAAGATATAAACTTTTACATACAGAAAACTGTTAGTCCTTCTTTTAAATCATTCCTAGAAAAGGGAAAAATTGCTTAGATGGAATTTTCTAAAATGGACCCAACAATTACCAAAGAAACTTATCCTGTTATCAGTTGTACAAAAAGCAAATTAAAAAGCTGTGCTGTTTGTTAATGCTGTTTTAGATTGATAATTTGATTTGTTCAGTATGCGGAAAAGCAAAGACGACTCTGAGTGTGTGTACGGCACGGAAACTGATCTTTGCGGCATTAGACGTTGCAGGAAAGGTCCCGGAGAAATTTGTGGAGGTGAGGAACATCATTTGTTTGTTAAAAATTGAAGAAACGTCTTTTTTTAAAGAGTATATTAGTTTTCTTGGTAATATTTGGAACATGTTTATTAATTGTCTGAAGCACTGACTTTAACTTTAAAATGTACAATTTTTTAAACAATTACAGCATGTAAAATAATTGGGCGAAAAATACAGTCATTTTCCGATCTGAATTAATCTTTCTCAAGTTTTCTCATGAAATTCTTATTTTGGGAGTTTGCCTTTCTGAAATGCTGTCAAGAACAATCATTTTTGTAATTAACCTTTTTTTTATTTAAGACCCTTTTTATGTGCAGTTTGTAAGAATATATATGTAGTATGTGTTACTATAAATGTATATTTGTGCAGTTTTGAAGAATATGTATGCAGTATGTGTTACTATATAGGTATATTTGTGTAGTTTGGAAGAATATATATGTAGTATGTGTTACTATAAATGTATATTTGTGCAGTTTGGAAGAATATTTATGTTGTATGTGTTACTATAAATGTATATTGTGTAGTTTTGAAGAATATTTATGTAGTATGTGTTACTATAAATGTATATTTGCACAGTTTGAAAGAATATATATGTATTATATGTTACTATATAGGTATATTTGTGTAGTTTGGAAGAATATATATGTTGTATGTGTTACTATAAATGTATAATTGTGCAGTTTGAAAGAATATATATCGTATATGTGTTACTATAAATGTATATTTGTGCAAGTTGAAAGAATATATATGTAGTATTTGTTACTATATAGGTATATTTGTGTAGTTTGGAAGAATATATATGTTGTATGTGTTACTATAAATGTATATTTGTGCAGTTTGGAAGAATATATATGTTGTATGTTTTACTATATATGTATATTTGTGTAGTTTGGAAGAATATATATGGTATATGTGTTACTATAAATGTATATTTGTGCAGTTTGGAAGAATATATATGTAGTGTGTGTTACTATAAATGTATATTTATGTAGTTTGGAAGGATATATATGAAGTATGTGTTTATATAAAAGTATATTTGTGCAGAATGGAAGAATATATGTAGTATATGTTACTATAAATGTATATTTGTGCATTTTGAAAGAATATATATGAAGTTTGTGTTACTATATATGTAGTATGTGTTACTATATAGGTATATTTGTGCAGTTTGAAAGAATATATATGTAGTATGTGTTAATATAAATGTATATTAGTGCAGTTAGGAAGAATATATATGGAGTATGTGTTATTATAAATGTATATTTGTGTAGCTTGGAAGAATATATATATAGTATGTGTTACTATTAATACATATTTGTGCAGGATGGAAGGATATATCTGGAGCATGTGCTATTATAAATATATATTTGTGCAGGTTGGAAGGATATATATGGAGCATGTGCTACTGGACTAACCTGTTCTAACTGTGGAAGTTGTAGCGGATGTTCTTATCAATCCTTTATATGCTGGGATGATATAGATTGCATGGCAAAAAGCTAGAAACCTGAATTTTAAACCACCATCAGTCCCCTCTTCACACGCCCCCCTCCCCTCATAAATAAAGTTTTAAAGAATATCATATGATGTTTGGAATGTATTATGGCTTTCTATAAATATATAAATGTCAACTTTAAATAAGCTTTAAACCAAAACAAATCCTAAAGTCTAAATGTAATAATACAGAGTCCGAATTTAATGAATTTGAGCCACGTCTCAAACCCACCAAAAACCGGTTTTAATTGAGCGCCGGCTTAAATTTTAAAACATTGAATACAATTTTGAGTGGAACCAACCATATTTGAGCAGCGCGCCGCGCCTCACATATAAGCCTCGGCTCAAATTCTTTACATTCGGCCTCAGATGTTCAAGGAATCCTCCCGATCGTTTATTTTGATAATATAATGTATTTAGGACCTAAAGCAGATAATTTATGCATAAAACTTTGAAGAACAAAACAGACCAATATAGAAAAACAATGTTTAAAAAACCTAAATAGTATGTGTAATATTTAAAGATGATGCTGTTTTAAGAAAGAACTGAAATAAAAAATCTTGTACAGCAAACTAGTTCGTGGTGTAAAATCTTGTACAGCAAACTAGTGTAAAATCTTGTACAGCAAACTAGTTCGTGGTGTAAAATCTTGTACAGCAAACTAGTACGTGGTGTAAAATCATGTACAGCAAACTAGTACGTGGTGTAAAATCTTGTACAGCAAACTAGTTCGTGGTGTAAAATCTTGTACAGCAAACTAGTACGTGGTGTAAAATCATGTACAGCAAACTAGTACGTGGTGTAAAATCTTGTACAACAAACTAGTACGTGGTGTAAAATAAATCAGAGTATTGAAGAAGCATTTACGACCGTTATTTACAGAAAACAAAATGTTTGTTTTGATTTATCTATCTATCATCAAAAATATTGCTAAATATCAATATCATTCATAAATAAGGATGCATTTACAGAAATGGATTTTAAAGAACTTGAGCCGCGGTTTAAATCCGCCAAAACCCAGTTTAAATTAAGCGCCCGCATAAATCTTGAAACATTTGATACAATTTAAAGTGGAACCAACCATATTTAAACCGCGACTTAAATTTAAACCGCCGCTCAAATTCTTTAAAGATGGATATATTAGAACCATGTAAATATTAGCTGTCATCATATTATTGAAAATATTCTAATCACATTTTATGATTTTAACACCTTTGTGTGCGAACTGTAGTGAGAACCAGAAAACTCTGGAATAGGAAGACGATATTTTAGCAAAACTGTACTTAATGCTGAAGAAGAACAAGAAGAAAGTATTTAACACTTATTACATCACTTCTTCAGTAAAATGGGTATTTTTACACTGCAAATGGCTGAATCCTATGCTCATTGGACTATTATAAAGTCATAATCTATGTACACAATGTTGTAATCTCTGTTTGTCTGTCTGTCTGCTTGTTTTTCCGATCATAACTCGGGAACCCCTGGACCGATATGCCTCAAATTTTGATTTTGTAACTCTGGAGAGCCACACAAATGTTCTTAGTTTGGCTTTAAGATTCTAAGTTGAGTGGGTCGAGGGTAAAATAGATAAAATCGTAATTCACAACAAAGTGCGGGTAAACAGTGGGACTCAGGGGCGGATATAAGGATTCTGTAGGGGGGGGTAAAAATTTTTAATTTGGCGCGCGAAGCGCGCCGGAATTTTTTTTACC